CACCTTCCTTCTCTTTCATTTTCTTTTTTTTCCTTCTCCTTTAATCTTTTTTCCTAGGCCTGCCACTAGCACCGGAATCGAGAAGTTTGCAGGCCCCTAATCTACCCTTAAGGAGCCCTGGTCATGCAGCAGTTAAGCACTTGGCTGCAAACCAAAAGATCAGTGGTTCAAACCCACCCAGCAGCTCCATGAGAGAAAAGACCTGGTGATCTGCTTCCGTAAAGATTATTGTTGTTATTGTCAGGTGCCATCGAGTAGGTTCCAACTCACAGCGACTCTATGTGCCTACGAGAGAACAAAACGCTGCCCCGTCCTGTGCCATCCTTACAGTCGTTGGCTGTTTGAGCCCATCGTTGCAGGCACTGTGTCAGTCTGAGGGTCTTCCTCTTTTTCGCTGACCCTTTGCTTTACCAAGCATGATGTCCTTCTGCAGGGAGTGGTCTCTCCTGATAACATGTCCAAAGTATGCGAGACAAAATCTTGCCATCCTTGCTTCTAAGGAGCATTCTGACTATACTTCTTCCAAGACAGATTGTTCGTTCTTCTGACAGTCGAGGGTGTATGTTCAATATTCTTTGTCAACACCATAATTCAAAGGCATCAATTCTTCTTTGGTCTTACTTATTCATGGTCTGGCTTTCGCATGCATATGGGGCAGTTGAAAATTCCATGGCTTGTGTCAGGTGCACCTTAGTCCTTAAAGTGACATCATTGCTTCTTAACACTTTAAAGAGGTCTTTTGCAGTACATTTGCCCAATGCAGTGCATCTTTCGATTTCTTAACTGCTGCTTCCACAGGCGTTGATTGTGGATCCAAGTAAAATGAAGTCCTTGACAACTTCAGTATTTTTCCCTTTATCATGATGTTGCTTATTGGTCCAGTTGTAAGGATTTTTGTTTTGTTTAGGTTGAGGTGTAATCCATACTGAAGGCTGTAGTCTTTGATCTTCATCAGTAAGTGCTTCAAGTCCTCTTCACTTTCAGCAAGCAAGGTAGTATCACCTGCATATCGCAGGTTGTTAATGAGTCTTCCTTCAATCTTGATGCCCCATTCTTCTTCATATGGTCCAGCTTCTCAGATTATTTGCTCAGCATACAGATTGAATAAGTATGGTGAAAGGATACAACCCTGACACACACCTTTCCTAACTAAACCACACAGTATCCCCTTGTTCTGTTCAAACGACTGCCTCTTGGTCTATGTACAGGTATTATCCATAATTTGTTATGATCCACACAGTCGAATGCCTTTTCACAGTCAATAAAACACAGGTAAACATCTTTATGGTATTCTCTGCTTTCAGCCAAGATCCATCTGATATCAACTGATATCTGATATCCATCTGATATCCCTCATTCCACATCCTCTTCTGAATCCAGCTTGAATTCCTGGCAGTTCCCTGTCAGTGTACTGCTTCAACCACTTTTGAATGGTCTTCAGCAAAATTTTATTTGCATGTGATATTAATGATATTGTTTGATAATTTCCACTTTCTGTTGGATCACCTTTCTTTGGAATGGGTACAAATATGGATCTCTTCCTGTCAGTTGGCCAGGTAGCTGTCTTCCAAATTTCTTGACATAGACCAGTAGGCACCTCCAGCACTGCATCTGTTTGTTGAAACATCTCAATCGGTATTCTGCCAATCCTGGAGCCTTGTTTTTCCCCAATTCCTTTGGTGCAGCTTGGACTTCTTCCTTCAGTACCATTGGTTCTTGATCATATGCTACCTCCTGAAATGATTGAACGTTGACCAATTCTTTTGGGTACAGTGACTCTCTGTATTCCATCTTCTTTTGATGCTTTCTGCGTTGTTCAGTATGTTGCCCATAGAATCCTTCAGTATTGCAACTCGAGGCTTGAATTTTTTTCTTTAGTTCTTTCAGCTTGAGAAATACCGAGCTTGTTCTTCCCTTTTGGTTTTCTAACTCCAGGTCTTTATATTATATATTACTTTGTCTTCTTTGAAATCTTCTGTTCAGCTCTTTTACTGTATAATTTCTTCCTTTCACTTTAGCTACTCTGCATTCAAGAGCGAGTTTCAGAGTCTATTCTGACATCCATTTTGGTGATTTCTTTCTTTCCTGTCTTTTTAACGACCTCTTGCTTTCCTCATGTATGATATCCTTGAAGTCATTCCACAACTCGTCTGGTCTTCAGTCATTAGTGTCCAATTTGTCAAGTCTGTTCTTGAAATGGTCTCTAAATTCAGGTGGGATATACACTCAAGGTCGTATTTTGGCCCTCGTGGATTTGCTTTAATCTTCTGCAGCTTCAACTGGAACTTGCATATGAGCAGTTGATGGTCTGTTTCACAGTTGGTCCTTGGCCTTGTTCTGACTGATACTGAGCTTTTCCATCATCTTTTCCCACAGATGTAGTTGATTTGATTGCTGTGTATTCCATCTGGGGAGGTTCACGTGTATAGTCGCCATTTATGTTGTTGAGAAAGGGTATTTGCAATGAAGAAGTCGTTGGTCTTGGCAAAATTCCATCCTGCAATCTCCGGCATCATTTCTAACACCAAGGTCATGTTTTCCAACTACTGTTCCTTCGTTTCCAACTTTCGCATTCATATCACTAGGATATCAGTGCATCTTAATTGCATGTTTGATCAATTTCAAACTGCAAAAGTTCATAAAAATCTTCAGTTTCCTCATCCTTGGCCTTAGTGTTTGGTACATAGATGTGAATAATAGTCATATTAACTAATCTTCCTTGTAGGCATATGGATATTTCGTATCACTGACAGTGTTGTACTTCAGGATAGATCTTGAAATGTTCTTTTTGATGATGAATGCAATGCCACTCCTCTTCATTTTGTAATTCCCGTCAGAGTAGACCATAAGATTGTCCAATTCAGAATGACCAATACCAAGTCCATTTCCACTCGCTAATGCCTAGGATGTCAATGTGTATGCGTTCCATTTCATTTTTAACGATTTTCAATTTTCCTAGATTCATACTTTGTGCATTCCACATTCCTATTATTAATGGGTGTTTGCAGCTGTTTCTTTTCACTTTGAGTCGTGCCACATCAGCAAATGAAGGTTCCAAAATAACTCCATCCACGTCATTAAGATTGACTCTTCTTTGAGGAGGCAGCTCTTCCCCAGTCATATTTTGAGTACCTCCCAACCTGAGGGGCTCATCTTCAGTATTACATCAGACAATATTCTGTTATTCATAAGGTTTTCACTGGCTAATATTTTCAGAAGTAGAGCACCAGTACCTTCTTCATAGTCTGTCTTAGTCTGTAAGCTCAGCTAAAACCTGTCCGCCATGGATAACTCTGCCAGTATTTGAAATACCAGTGGCATAGCTTCCAGCATTGTAGCAACTGACAAACCACAACAGTACAACAAACTGACAGACACATGGGCCCTGTAAAGATTACAGCCTGGGAAAGCCTATGGGGCAGTTCTGTCTGTCACATGGGGTCTCTGTGAGTCAGAATTGACTCAGCAGTGCACAGCAATCTACTCTTGATCTTAGCCAAAAGGCCAAGAAGAAGCTTAGCCCCTAATCTAGACAGTTAGCATATAACTTGATGGTCATATGGAGACATTCATACTGTGTCCACTAAGCCTGACTGAGTGACTGGAGCCTTCTCTGTTAGTTTCCTTAGTGATCAACTTTTAGGGTGGTCAGTTCCCCACTTTAGAATGTTTACAAAGAGGCTCGAAGGCCATGTCTTGGGGTTTTTATGGGAAATTTTTAGCAGTACATGGGAGATGAACAAGATGCCACCAGGGTTGCTCCCAGATTTGATTCTCTGATGTGCCAGGCATTTTGCAACTTCTGAAATGCATGATGGGAACTTAACCTTTGTCACTTGATTCAGAGCTCTCCTCTTCACCTGGCCTCGCTCAGAGCCCCTGGCAAGGTGAGGCTCTTTTTGCTGAGAAAGACTTGGGTATTTGACAAGAATTTCCAGATGTCAGCCTTGGAAAGCAACCTTTGAGACCATGCAATCCAAACCCATCATTGGCTGTCGTCAGCCTGGAGAATGAGAGTGAGTTGAATAGGGTCCCCAGGTATTGCTCCTGCTAATCCGACAGACCCCACAGTCTCCAGGGACTCTGTTCTAACATTTTCTTATCTACCAAACAAGGATGTGTTATATAATAATATATTCATTCCATGGTAACCAGTAAACCTAGGACATTGTCTAGGGCCATTGACACTCAGGACACATGTGTTGAACAGAATTCCCAACTCTGAGATCCTTGCAGCTTCATAACTGCGTGGTGAAATCACCCATTACTGTCGGCTGTGACATTCATAGTGTAGTAGGTAACTCTGCCAGCTGTCCACTGCTAAGTCCCATAATCGAGGCCATCATGCTGTCCTCTGGCCCAAGGGCTTCTTTTCAGTACACGTGCCCCTGTGTGACCCTGCACTTATATCTCAGAAGTTCCCTGAATGTCACCGGCCACTCAGAGCCACAGATCAGCATGAAAAACGCAGAGTTAGCAGATTTGTTGAGTTGAGTCTGGGAAGGGGAGATTGCAGGGTCTGGTGTGGGATTCTTCTTAAACTGGCATGCCAGTGTCCGCCGGCTTTAGAGCCCACGACCATCTAGGAGCTAAGGTCAGCTCTGAGGCTTGGCGGTGCCTGAGAGGACATTTGTCCAGCTCAGCTCAGGGAATCAGCAGGACCGGCCAGGTTCTGCACGAAGGGCTGCTGTGCTTAGAGTTTGCAGACTTGGGACCAGAAACGTCTCAGGGCTGGCCCACCCAGACTCACCTCTCCTCAAGTCCTTTGGTTGTCCGTCTGCCTCCATGGCAGAAGCTCTTCCTCTGGTTACTACCAATAGCTTAGTGACTCCAGCAGGCCTCAGCCCAGCCCCGCCAGCTGCCTGCGTACAATCCCCTCTGTCCCAGCCTTTCATACAGGCTTCCTGAATGCACTGTCCACCTGGTGAAGGGGAATGGGAGTGAGTGGTGAGAGCTTCGAGCCCCTGGTCAGCTGGGGTTTCTGGCTGAGCTGGCCTCAACCACCATCACTGCCAGGCATGAGCACTGCAGTCATCATGTTTGCAGCAAGCTCATTCATCTCATTGTTTTTATTTTAGGAAGACGATGAGAAGCTCATTGAGGAAATCCAGAAGGAGGCTGAAGAGGAGCAGAAGAGAAAGAATGGAGGCAAGTTAGCCCCCAGCACCAGGCCTGGCCGAGGGTTCCCCACACCACTCCTTACCTGTATGGGCCTGCAGAGGCCACGGCCTGGACTTGAGGGGGACCAAGGGACCACTCAGGCTCCAGCTGCTGGCCCTCCCTGGAGATGCTGGTACTTGACCCAGCCTCAGAGGGCAGGAGTACTGCCCCTTAGGTGGCCACAGACATGACTCCACCCTCTCAGCCACCACCCAGGATGCAGTCAGCTCCTTTTTGGGTGAAGCCATACAGTGATGGCATCTCCATGATGGCAGAAAGGTCCAGGGGTGGGCCGAGCTTAGGAAGTACCTAGAAGCAAACCAGGCTGAAAAGATGGGAGACCTGGCCTGATCCTTTGGCGTTTAAAGAAGGAATGGAATGGCGTTTGTGAGGCCCCTCCATCTCTGGCTCTAAAGGAAAGTTTCATACCCACGTCCTCCCTGCTCTGGGCTGGAATCAGTGTGTGACCCTCCAGGGTGACTGCTCTGGAGCACAGCACTCCTGGAGGGGTCACTGTGTGCTTGCTTCCTTGTGACAGATGGGTGCGGATGTGCGTGCCACTTATGTGCGTGTGAATGTGTGTGTATGTGCTGATGTTTTGTGCTCTAATCAGCCTTATTTCATAGCTGCCCCTCTTGTGGGTGACTCTCAAGGTCAGTGGGTCCCTGGGGTCTGCGTGCACCTCTTCGGACCCATCCGCCCCTTCCTCAGGCGTACCCAACACACTGGTCGGCAGCCCCCAGCTCTGGGTGGATGTGGACCGTGGTCAGGGTGCGCAGCCCCTGGTTCCAAGCTGATTTCAAACTGAGTTGATGTTAGCTTGTTTTTCTGTACTGAATCCCATGTTCTTTACAGAGAACACCTTCAAACGCATTGGACCACCCTTGGAGAAGCCTCCAGAGAAAGTTCAGAGAATTGAAGTCCTGCCAAGGCCTGTCCCGCAGAACCTGCACCAGCCACAGATTCCCCCTTACGCCTTTGTGCACCCGCCTTTCCCTCTGCCGCCCGTGCGGCCCATGTTCAACAACTTCCCTCTCAACATGGGCCCCATCCCAGCTCCCTATGTGCCCCCTCTGCCCAACATGCGGGTCAACTACGACTTCGCCCCCATCAACGTCCACCTGGAGCACAACCTGCCCATGCACTTTGGTCCCCAGCCCCGGCACCGGTTCTGACAGCACGGCCCTTCCCCACCTTGCCCGGAGCAGCCCCCTAGGACTGAGTCCCTGGCCAGAGCAGCCCCTCAGGCCTGTGTGGGGCTAGAGGTTGTTGAGTGTACGTTTAACATCTTCCTTGACCCTTCCCCTTTGCTCCTGAGGCTGAGGACTCCACTGATGGCCTTCCTAGTAGGGGGTAGCTTTGGCTCTCGAAAGGATGGGCTTTCTCCTGCCCTTTCTTGGGAAGGGCTGCTGCCCTCTGGAATTGCTTAAGTCGGGGCAGGCCAGGGCCTCGGGGTGCTAGTCACAGGCTTGGTCTGGTCTCACTGGGCTGCATGGTAAGGGGGCTGGGCATTCCAGCAGCAAAACCCTTTTCCCTGAAGAGGTCTGCCACCCCCACGGCTGTGTCCCTCAAGTTGTCTGCCGAGAAGACATGGAGACGCTATTTGCCTCTGTTCCCCAGCCCCTCACAGACAACCAAGGAGGTGCCGCCAGGAGAAGCCGTCTCTCAGAATCAGGAACCACGGAGGCCTTCCCTACCACAGCCCCAACTGCTCCATAGAAAGAGGACTTGTAGCTGGGAGAGCTCAGAGAGGGTGAGGGGCTGGCACCAGTGTTGTGAAGGCCAGATTCCGGCCCCCCAGCAGCAGCCCCTCATGTTTGTTCCCCAAGGTGAGCCTTGTGGAGCCTTGTGCTTGGTAAGCCCTCCCTTCACACTGGCTGCAGGTCACATCCCCTCAGGGACCTGCCCCAGCATCCGGGCTGCAAGGGGCCGCAGCTGTAACCTCCAGGGGCTTTTCTCTCCCCTTCTTGGCCCGTTTAGATCCAGCTGCAGGCGAGGGCCGCCTCACGGTACAATCTCTGTTCTGTAGTTTAAAGAAAGTCTTGCTCCCATTTACTCACTTCGACCTTATCCAATTTTCCATGGCCAGCTAGTGTTTTCTTCCTCCATCTCTGCAACGTCAAACCGAGAAACCTGTTACCCCACACCGGGCAGCTGATGGGGACTGGATGGTCCTGGCACGTTGCCCTCAGGTGGCTGTTTCCACAGAGACCTGTGGCCCCCGGGCCGCCTTCTGTGGCCACCAGCCGGCCAACGAACAGCTTTTCCTCTGGGGTTTGGGTGGGAGGAAATGTGTCTTCCTAAGATAGAGGTGTATGCTAGCAGGGCCAGAACAGCCAGCCCGGGGTCCTTCCTCCCTCACGTTCTCTCAGTAATTAAATGAGGGCACAGGCAGAGGGCTCGGCTCAGAGTCCACGTGCGGTGAGTCCGTGCCACCTTCTGTTCCCTGTGGTTGTGTCTGACACCCAGGTCGTTGAGCCACACATGGGGCCTCCCCCGGAGCTCCAGTGTCGCCATTGCAGAGCAGAGGCTGAAGCTTCTGACTGCTCAACTGTGAACGAGCTTGTCCTGTCCTAGCAGATGTCGTTTCTCGCTGTCCTGCCTCAGCCTACTTGTTCACGTTGCCGTGGTCTGCACCAGCTGTTTGTCCTGGGAGTTAGCGCGAGCACTCACACCTAGACCTCAGGAAGGGTGAACCAGGCGCCCGGAGGGGTTGAGGTGCAGGACGCAGGGACCTCAGCGCTTGTTTTATAGCAACGAGTCTGCCCCTGGGGCCCACCTGCCATGTTCATTTGCTGCCCAGCAACTTTTGTGTGTTTCAAGGATTAAAACAGAAAAAAAGACCTCCTGAGATACCCGTTCTTCCTGCCTTTCCCCAGGATGAGGGCTTTGAAGACAGACCAGTGGCCGTTTGGGGTGAGGGTGAGGGGACAAGACAGGAAGGCTGGCACCCAGGAGAAGTGAGGGTTTGGGGCACGGGCGAGGCTGCTCAGAGCCGTTTGCCGTGGGGTCATCTGTGCCCACATCCCTCCCTGCTTGGCTGCCTGGACTGGGTGCCAGCCTAAGTAACCAGTGCCTTCTGACAAGCTGCCATCTGTGGGTTCCAACACACATCGTGTGTGCCACAGGCGTGCCTTTGGGTGAGAGTGAGTGGTTCAGTACAAAGCCTTGTCATTACTTGGTTAAGTATCTTTGAAAGTATGTTCCTGCTGCTTCTCCCAGAAAAGCTCTGAGAGCAGTGAGTGGCCACCAATGCCCCTGCCAGATGGGGAGGTTGGCCCCTAGCGTTGTCCCACCCTCCCAACACAGTGACAGCTCACTCAGAGCCCACAGGGAACCTCTTGGGCCTCTTGAGCCGATTCACCATCAAGTAGAGAGTGGCCCCTTTATTCCAGGGCCCTGCGGCCCCTTGTTGCAGGCTCCTTGTGGGCCCAGAAACAAGGGAGCTGGCTGGTTCCAGGGTCAGCTCCAGCGGCGGCTGCACCACCACCATGCCCAGTGTAAAGGTCACCTTCGATATGGGGCCCAGCCCCTGCCACAAGGAGTCCCCGTATTTGATCAAGTGAGAGCTTGTCCATTGTGAGGTGGGCTTACATGGTTCCCAGCCACACTGGGCAGTTGGGGGAGCTGCTGCTGCCCCTCCATGCCCACTGAGCCCTGCCTTTGAGGTCCTCCTGCAGGAATGTCCCTGCTGCAGGCTCTAGACAAGCATGAGGCCCACGTGGTCAGGATGCGACAGTAAGGCCTCAGCTCCTTGGCCCTGCCTGGGCTAGGGGTTCCCAAGAACCAGTGTGTGTGCTGCTGAGAGGGGACTAGGGCAGAAGGGACCAGGGCACCCCCTGATAAACCCACCAGTGACACACAGTGACAGGAAACGCCAGATTGGCCCTTATCTCAGAAACAGCAGGAGCCCACGCCTTCCCCTCTCTGGGCCACAGTGATGGCCTCGCTCCCAAGAGTGAGAGACCGCTCACAACAGTCCACTTTACTTGCCTTAAAACTGGAGAGAGGGATGATGTAGTGTTTGCACATAGCAAAAGCGTTAAAAACCAGAAAAAAAGTGCATGTCTGTCACTTTGTATAAAAATAGTGAAAAATGAATATGTAGTTTATTAAAAAGTTTTTCTTTACCTTCCAGTAGTAAAAATGCATAAACTAGCCGTTGGGTTTAAACTACTGCGTGTAAAAAGCCTGTATCATATGTAACTTGGATTTTTTGTAAATAAATGTTAGTGCACTCTGCTCTTGTCTCATCTGTCCGCACAAGCAGCCTGGTGAGCCTGCTGGCCGGCAGTCACAGAACTGGGGCGGAAGGTTCTGCGGCGGCATGTTGCCAGATTTCCTCAGGAGAGATTAGATCTGCTAAGATAATATCCGCATCAGAGGGCAAGGGCCTGGCAGGCTGTGGCCAGAGCAGCTGCAGGATTTGACCCCAGAGAGGGCTGTCCCCATTGCCACCTCTGCCACTTGCCTGGGAGTCATCTGTCACATTCATCCTGCTGGGGCACTACTGAGGCCCAGGCTGGGGATGAAGGGCTGATTTTGGGGGCGGGGGGGTGTTAGGCTCTGAATCCCAAAAAATGCATCAGTCTTAGCCCCTCTTCAGGCTCCTCGGGTAGACCAGGCCTGAGAGCTCCCTCTGAAGTCTGGGTGCAAAGAGGAGACACCTCCAGCTGGGGAAGAGAGAATGTTGGAGAACAGGAAGTGCCTTGGCAGAGAAGCTGTGTCATCTGAGCCCAGCTCCCAGCCGGGTAGGAGGGGGTCAGCCTGCAGACCCAGACCCCTCCCCACCCCATACTGCAGGACTGACTGCAGGGCTTCTCCTAAGTCCCCTGAAGCCACGGCCCTGTGCCAAGCCCAAGCAGGAATTGGCCTGAGAAGAGGACGGAGGGCTCTAGGCACAGCTGGGCCTTGGCACTCAGTGTCCATAAAACATGGGGTATTCTCTTCCCGTGTTG